ATCCTGTCTCAAGAAAAAACAAAAGAAAATAAAGTGACTGATTTAATCTCACAGCCATGGGGCAAATGAGCGTCATGCATGACTGCAGACAAAGCACCAACAGAGCATTTCCGCCACAAATGCTTACCCAAGCCTAACCGTAGAGGTATGGAGACACAAACTCCAAACGGAAGGACTTTCTACAAAGCTGGCCGGACTGCTGAAAAAGTTACAACAGTCTGGAGATGGTTTTAAACTAAACAAATGAAAAGGACCTAATAGTTCTTGATGGGTTCCTAGGCTGGAAGAAAAATATAATCTTCAAAGAATGGTACTTGGAAATTGAAGTTGTATTCATTTTGGTTTTGAAGGGTACTATCTGTGGGTATTGGATGCTACTCTCTTTCTTTTGGTACTTTTATGATGTTGCTCTCAGACTGGGACTACATCCATCTCAGTGGAGTAGGTCCTGGGTTCTATCCCTTGCACTGCCAACAACAACGTTGCTCTAGGCCTCTGGCTTACATTGTTTCTGGCTGAAGCTCAGCAGGCAGAAAGACATCAGTCAGTCAGTAGACAAATGCAGGGAAAGTTGTATCCTGTAGAAGTCTAGTATGTAAGTCTTGTTAGACCCCCGGAAAAAACTCAGGCCTCCGGGGTCTCAGCCCACGACCATGGTCACCCCAATCACCAGGCAGATTCGAGAGCTTGCTGCAAGCTGCATAAGGCTTTATTGTTTTTTAACGAGCTAACCCCATGTTAGCTCGGGTCTTTCACCCACCTGCCATGGCGGACGGCCAGCAAAATCACCTCGAACCGGCTGCCGAGCGATCTTGTAGGGCAGCGTAAGAGGCGTGTCTAGTGCACAGGCTCAGGATTGGTGTGCCTCCAGGCTTGGAGGGCTTGCCCTGTGTTGATTGGCCAATTGGTTGTTATGGCCCATAGGCCCTCCCAGGGGGGTTGCTATGCCCTGCGTGTCATTGCTGTGTGCTTGTCCATAAAGTACACCTAGAGCCATAAAGCATAGCACCACCAGCTAACTTCTGATTGGTTCCTTGCCACGAGGCAGGCATCTGACCTCTTAGTGACCAAGGCAAGGTCATAGCAAGCACGTGTTACTGTCATGGCTGCCGAAATGGGGAGCTGGTTCCTTCAGTCTGAGGCCTGTCGTGGCCCGGCATGTCTCAGCCCCAAACCACGGAAGCCATGAAGTTTGGTCTGAGTGGGGGAGTGTGGACTTGGAAATTCCTAGCAACCCAATGGTGATAAAGACCAGACACATGCATCTTGTCATCTTTAGAGAGCTCTCAGTTCCATGCTGCAAAACTGGAGTCTCTCCTTTATTCAACATCTTCTTGACTGTTTTCTAACCATTCTTCCCTGACCCTGAGACCGTTTCTCTTCCATCTTCCTAGACCCTATCAGCAGATCTCTCTCAATTGTCTCTCCTCCTGTTGACCTCTCTGCCCAATACCTCCTCACCATCTCCTCACTAGCCCCTTAGCCTTGGTGCAGGCCTTTTCAAATGCTTAGTCCTGTAGAGATGCAAAACTAGGGGACATTCTCCACTGAGGCTATGCCATTCAACAGCAAATCAGCTAGCATCTGCAATACAATGCAGACCAGAGAGGTTTGGACCTCAAGAAATTCCCTAATGGAATCAGTTCTTGGCTCCCAACAGAGGCCCAAACACTGTGAGAACAGAGGGTGCTCTCCAAGGATATTGAGAGCAAGCCCACTAGACCTAGAAGGTTCCCTTCCAGAAGTTCTATCCTATGTCTTCTGATACCGCTATGCTTCTGTAGTTCTGTCCTACCTGATCTTTTAAAAAAGATTTACTTTTAACTCTCTGTCTCTGTCTGTTTATCTGTCTGTCTGTCTGTCTGTCTGTCTCTCTCTCTCTCTCTCTGTGTGTGTGTGTGTGTGTGTGTGTGTGTGTGTGCGCGCGCGTGCGCGCATGCACACATATGAGTACAGGTGCCCAACGAGACTGCAAGAGTGCATCAGACACCCTGGAACGACAGTTATAGGTGCCTGTAGGTCACCTGATATAGGTGCTGAGAACTGAACTCAGGTCTTCTGGAAGAACAGCAAGTAACCTCAACCTCTGAGCCATCTTTCCAGCCCCAATGTTGGGTTTTGTTTTATTTTTTCAGACTTAAAACAATCCTTTGAGATTTCACACATGTATACACTGAAATATGATCACATATACCCCCATTTCCGCTCTTCCCCCAACATGTACTCCCTTCTAATTTCAGATCTTTTTTGTTTGATAACCCACTAAGTCCAATTAGTATAGACCATATGTGCAAGCAGGTGGGGCCATCCACTGGAGCATAAGAAACAGCAGTGGGGACTCCCTAAAAAAAAAAGAAAAAAAAAAGATTGTCTTTGTTTAAGCAGTTGTTAACTGCCAATAGCTCCTCAGTACAGGACGGGGCCTAGGGACTGTCTCTTTTATATAGGATGGGGCCTAGGGTCATCTCCTCATCTATGTGGGGATTCTGGCTGGCTTGATTGTACATGGATCTTGTGTGATGGAGTCTTGCTTGCCTGTCCAGGGCTGGGATGCAGATCATGGTAGAGCACTTATCTAGAATAGCGAGGCTGAGTTCCATCCTTAGTAGTACAGAGAGACAAACAGACCACACCAAGCCCAGAAGACCCAGCCCAATCTGACTTTCACTGACTCTCCAGAGGCAGTTTACTGCTTCTTACTCTGGGTTCCCAAACCTATAATACCCTACACTGTACACACCTTGCATGCAGATGCTAAGACACATTCATCTCTGAACTACTGTGAGTATAGCAGCTGAAAAGAAAATCTGCACAGTGTACCTATGACAAAATGATTCCATGGCCAAGGCCAAAGAGACTCTATGTACCAATGTATTAGGTTCCTGAAATTTATTGAGACAGGGTCTTTATCCTCCTGAACCAGCCACCCTGCCCTGACCTCCTGAATGCTGGGATCATAGTCATATGTCACCACAACAAATTTCTACATTATAACTGCTCTTTCACTATTATACATTCATATCCTTGGAAAACAATTCCTCAAAATTACTTAAATGTACCATTGCTCAACTATAAAGTGACACTGAGGAGTCAAGGTTAGGGCCCCTTGACTACATAGTGAGATTTAAACAGTACAGATTCTGTCTCAGAAAGCAGGAGATTGAAGGATGAGGCCAAGAAGTCTGCTCTGTTGATTACACCAATGTGTGGACCTCTGAAGTCTCTTCCAACTCTCAAGCCCCTAAATATGACCATCTGACCCCTCCTTCTCCTCCACAGTGTTAGACCCCCAGAAAACTCAGGTATCCGGGGTCCCAGGCCACGACTGCGGTCACCCCAATCACCAGGCAGATTCGAGAGCTTGCTGCAAACTGCACGAGGCTTTATTGTAATTTAACGAGCTAACCCCATGTTAGCTCGGGTCTTTCACCCATCCTCCAGGGCGGATGGCTAGAAAAGACAGCTCGAACCTGCTGCATACAGATCTTGTAGGGCAGCATAAGGGGAGTGTCTAGGGGGACACACAGGCTCACGATTGGTGTGCCTCCAGGCTTGGCGGGCTTTCCCTGTGTTGATTGGTCAACTGGTTTTTATGGCACATAGGCCCTCCCAGTGTGGTTGCTATTCTTTTTGCTTCATTGCTGTGTGCTTGTCCGTAAAGCACACCCAGGGTCATAAAGCATAGTGCCACCAGCTAACTTCTGATTGGTTCCTTGTCACGAGGCAGGCATCTGACTTTCTAGTGACTAACTAACTTCTGATTGGTTCCTTGTCACAAGGCAGGCATCTGACCTCTAAGTGACCAAGGCAAGTTTATGGCAAGCATGTGTTCGGCTGTTATGGCTGCCGAAAGGGGAGCTGGTCCCTTCACACAGGAAACTGGGAAACAGAGAAAGAGTTTATGTTTTCTTCTTGACTCAAGTAAAAGGGAATGGTTTTCATGTTTTATGATGTAAAAAAAAAAAACAAAAACAACAACAACAACAACAAAAAAATAAATGCCAGCTAGTGGATGCGTAAAGCATTTGCTGTGTGTGTATAAGGCCCCAAGTCTGACTCCTCAGAGTCCATGTAAAACTGGGTTAGTAAAGTGTGTCTGTGATCTCAGTGCTCCTGTAGTGACGTGAGAGCTGGTGAGAGACCCTTCAAAGTTTTGGGGTTGGCTGGCCTGCACTATGCAACAGCAAATAAGTGACTCTGCCTCAAATAATGTGGAAAAATGGGGACTGACTAGAGGTTTTCCTCCAACTTCCACACACACACATGGCATATGCACACCAGCATACCTGTGTGTGGTATACATACACAAAGATTTAAAAAAGAGAGTACCAGAAGTGGTGATGCATGCCTTTAATCAGAACTCTAAGGCAGAGGTAGATAGACCTCTGTAAATTGTAGGCCAGACTGGTCTACATAGGAGTTCCAGGCTAGTTAGGGCTTCATAGTAAGTCCTTGTCTCAAAATAAATGCCAATCGGGCTGAGGATATAGTTCAGTTGATAGAATGCTTGCCATGCAGACATGAGGTTCTGAGTGCAATCTCCAAAACCCTCACAAAAACTCCAGGTGCCGTGGTGTGTGCTCAGAATCCTGGCCCTGAGATACCTAGAGCTGACTGTCTAGTCAGTCTAGGCTAATAGGTGAGGTCCCAGGTCCCAAACAGACCCATCCCTACTCCCCAAAAGGTTGTTCCTGAGAACAACCACAGAGGTCTTCTGGCCTTCACACAGACATGCACACATACTAGCATAAACATGTATACCTGGGCACACACTCACATGTGCACATGTAACACTCATGCACACACACACTCACATGGATGCCTGCCAGCAGGAACAGACAGCAGCAGGAGTTGGAGCTGCAGTTGCTGAGACAACCCATCTAGTAGTTCCCAAACAGCCCAGAGTGAGGGCTGTGAAGTGGGAATCTGAAGTGACTCTGCCTCCCAGAAGAACACCAGCCCTCTGAGAGAAACAAAACATTCATAATCTGGAGCCTCTCTGTGGGCTGAACATCAAGGAAAATTAATTTAATAATAACAGCAGTCAAGACTTACATGGTGTCAGTTTATATTTCTCTTTTCTTGTGGATTTGAATTACTTAGAACACATGTATCTCCCAAATGTTACGAAATAAGACAAAAGAAAATCTTGGTTGGGGTTTGGGGTTTGTTTCAGTAATGGTTAAGCCCAGATGGTGTAGTGAAAAAAAAAAAAAATACATGTTACCTTTCCAGTCTGCTGATTCCCTGTTTACCTAGAAATCTGAGGCTCTTAATCTGCCTGTGTCCCTTGGCAAGAAGGTCAGAAGTCATTGTCACTCTCATCCAGGGGTTCAGGTTTCCGGACCCTACGACTGGGCTTAGCTGGTGAGAGAGCAATGCTCTCATCTTCCAAATCGTCATCATCTTCTTCATCATCTTCCATGTCAATTTCACTGTCCTCTGAGTCTTCCTGAAATAAAAAGACGGCACATGCAACTGAGGTGCTAGCTCACTACAATATCTTGTCCTTCGAGACCCCACTTTACTCTATCAAGGACGGTGCAATAACCAGCAATACCTCTATAGTGGAAGGTTGTGGGAACACTGCACGCTGCCAGCTGAACAACTCCACTAGACTGAGGACATAACCAGTAACTCAAACACCAGCCTTTACTGGGGTTGTCGAGCAGGAGTTGGCTTTCCATGGATGTCTTGGGAATACCCTTAATATATGCTGAGGGACCTAGATGCTGAATGGCTCCTGCGGTCTAGAGACACAGCAGATAGGTAGACAGCAAGAAGGGCAGGAAAGTGAGGCCAATTCCAGATGGAGACGGAAAGCAGCACAGATGTGGGTAAGAAAGCAAGATGAAGGGGCCCCAGCTCCTTCACAGTCTGGATCCAGGGATCTCCAACTCGAGTTGTCTTATTTACAGCAAGTCCTATGCTCCATGTATACCAAGATGGCTGGCCACCCAGTCTAGATTATTATTCCCAAGTAGTACATACATGTTAGAATTCTCATCTCACTACCACCTTCTCTAGCTACCCTGCTCTGTATGCTTCCTTCTCAGCAGAAATCCTTGGGAAAGCCAGGTCTGTGGTGGTATAAGCCTACAACGCCAGCACTCTAGAGGCTAAGGCAGGAGGATGATTATGAATTTGAGGCCAACCTGAGCTACACAGAAAGATCTTGTTTCACAAGAAAAAAAAAAAAAAAGAATGAACTCCTTGGGTAAATTGCTGTACTCAAGTGTGCTCCTCCCGTTACATAAGTACAACAGGCTCTATCCCATAACCCCAAACCACTCTTATCAAGACTGAAAGGATTCCAATCCAGTGGGATGGATCCATAGAATGAACTCCTTGGGTAAATTGCTGTACTCAAGTGTGCTCCTCCCGTTACATAAGTACAACAGGCTCTATCCCATAACCCCAAACCACTCTTATCAAGACTGAAAGGATTCCAATCCAGTGGGATGGATCCATAGTCCTTCCCACATCTGTCACCGACATACCCTTCTTTCCTGAAGGCCACCCCCCCACCCTCCATGGCAAACACTCTAGTCTGCCCTCCATCCCTAGCTCTCTGTATAGTGTGCTCCAACTCCTTTACCCGATCCTTTTTAATTCTCTGGCCTCTGCAATACAGAGGTAGCTCAGGACTGCAGGCCTCCTCTTTTCTCTTCCTGCTCTCCAAATAGTGTAATCACATCTTTATCATGGCTTCCATCTAAATATGGATTGCTCCCAAGTTCCACTTCTGGTCCAGCCCTGTTTCTTAAATTCCAAACTTTTCCTGATCTGCCCTATCAGTCCCTTCCTCAAATCATTTCTGTCTCAAGAAGTTAAAACCCCAGGCTTTCGGTTAGTTCCACCACTGAAACATTCTGCATTTTTCTTCTTCATCACCCTGGGGTATTCAACTAACAAAACAAGATGGGTCAAACCTCAGAAACACCCAGAATCTATCTGCTTCTCAATACCAACACCATCATGGCCTCGGGCTAAGACGTCCTCACCTCCAACTTACACAGTTGCACTTGCCACCTCTGAATCTCTCCGCTGGGCACACAATTCTTTAACATCTCCTATCTTACCCGGTCCTCAATGCACCCTGCATAGTTCTGTCCCCGTTGTCTCTCACCACTTGCACCCTAGTCCCTTCCATCCTGCCTCTGCCTTACTGTAGGTGCCCACACACCCTAGGCCCAGGGGCTCTGCCCATCCCAACATGGCTTACTCTTTCCCTCATTCAGGTCTCTGCTTCAATTTGTTACTAGATAGGCCTTGCCTGAACATGTGAAAAGATACCTTGTCTATCATTTCTCATCTCCTGAATCTACTTTATTTATTCCCTAATACCTATGACTGTGGTAAATCTACTTAGTTGTTACTAGAACATGTGCGTTGCAAAGGCAAGGACTGTTCACCCCACTCCCCGCCACACCTCCCCCTCCCCGACCCCTACTGCATTCAGGATCTAACACTCATAGGATCCAACAAATTCAAGCCCTGTGATAGGAGCTTCATGAAATAAACAAGTGGGAAGACTGCTGAAGCCACTGCAGACACATTCATCCTTAAAGCATGCGAGCAAATAAAACAGAACAGAAACCACTTTCCAGGAAGCACTGGTTTCTTTAAGCCAGATCCTCCCTGTTTCAGACTCAGGTGGACAGGAGTAGATGCGCACTACCTTATCACAGTGCCCTCTCTGTTAAGAAGAAAGTTATTGTTGAGTGATTTCCCTGACTCTCCTTTGACTGTCCTCTAGGAATTCAAGGTACAAGCTTCTCTGTTCCTGCCCAGAAAGATAAGGGCCAGCTTGCTCTGTGTATAGCAACACTGCACTGAGGTACTTAGTAAGCCAAGCTTCCTACAAGAGCATATGGTCCTGTTTAGTCCCTGTGCAGTCTGGCACCAGCGCCACACCCCAGACAGGCTTGTTCCTTACAGACTGACCTGGGATTGGTGTCTCTCCAGTAACCTTTGCTAAATGGGCCAAATGGCACTGCCAAGGACTATCACAGAAGAAGGGCTCAGAGAGTCCGGCAGGGTATGCTCAGCCTGCTACTTTGAGAGCCCAGATTTCCCTTTTTGGTTAAGTTTTCTAGTCAGTTATTTACCTGGTAGAGTGCAAAGCACTAGCAGCCTGACTTCAGCCTCCTGTTGGGCCTCTCTGAGGCCCTGGTCTAGGAGGACACCTTTTCCATGTTCCTGCTGCAGAACCATAGGACAGTGCTGAAGAAAGGCTGGGCCATGGCCCTTGGCATCAGCACTTTATCTCTGTTATAATTCAGGGCCTGATGACTGTCTTGGTGTTTGAGCCTCCTTAGTTTGGTAATGCAAGAGACCACTCTGCCCTTCTCTCCATGGCATCTATTCTGAGGGCTTCTTGCCCCAGAGAGGAAGCATCACCCCAGAGGAGAGAGGCTCTGCTGGCCCTGAGCAGGTCAACACACACCAACTAACAGATGAGGCAAGAAAAGAAAACCAACCTGCTTCCTGGAGCTGGGAGTCTTGCATTTACCTAAGAGGACTGGTGCTGCTTCCAACTTTGGAAAGCGAGAATGGAAAGAACAGTGAGAAGGCGGGAAAAAAAAGAGCGAGCATATTTGTGTGAAATGAGAAACAAGCTATTGACAAACTCTGTCACATTCAAGCAATGTGCTGGGAACAGGCAGTCCCTGACTTCTGGCAGCACCTGAGCTAATCTAAGAGGACAGCCCCAGGACCAGGAGGCACAGGAGTGGTGAGAGGGTGCCGGGACTCACATCTTCATCTGAGTCTCCACCTTGCATTGTGCCCACGATGCGTTTGCTGGGCCTTCCTGAGAACAACAAAACATGAAATTATAAGATCCTTGGAAAATACAACAGGAAATGACATTTAAGACTTGCTTTCCCTTAGAAAATGTAGTTAAGCTTCAACTAATTAGAATTACCAACAAATAATCATCCATTTCCTGTATCCCCTATTTTGAGAAACTCACTATATAGCTGAGGCTAGCCTTGAACTCTTGATCCTGCCACAGCCTCTAGAGTGCTGGCATTGCAGGTTTGTGCTACCATGCCCTGCTCTGCAATTCTACTTAAAAGATAAAAAAAGAGCAATAAAATTCAGCATGTGATAGGGTACATCTGTTATCTCAGACTCAGGAGACTGAGGCAGGAGGATTACTGGGAGCTCAAAGCTAGCTTGAGGTACATAGTGAGTTGTACCATGCCTCAGCAACAATAATAAAAAAAAAATGAACAAATAAATATAAAGTTAACATGGACTGGCAAGATGGTTCAGTAGGTACTTGCCACTAAGCCTAATGACCTGAGTTTCATCTCAGGAATTTACATGGAAGAAGGAAAAAAATGAGTTCCAAAAGTTTTCTTTGGATATGTGATTATGTGTGCACACATAAATGAATGTAATGAAAATTTACATACAAAAATATACATGAAGGCTGGGGGTAAGGATAAGTGGTAGAACATTTAGCCATATGCTTAAGGCCATGGATTTAATCTCCAGCACCACAAAACAAACATGAATTAAGAGTACTTGTTTGTTTGTTTTGACACAGGGTTTCTCTGTGTAGACCTGGCTGTCCTGGAACTTGTTCTATAGACCAGGCTGGTCTCAAACTCACAAAGATCTGCCTGCCTCTGCCTTATGAGTATTGGGATTAAATGTGTGTACCACCACCACCACCACCCAGCAATCAAGAGTATTTTTAAAACATATTCTCTGAGTATCTGAGGGGGAAAAAAATCACTGAACTCCATTATTAGTTTACATGCAGTAGAACTTTCATGGTATCTGTTGAAAAAGAAAATATTATTCTTTTATGAACTAGTGTCTCCTCTACTTTAATCTAGGCCTAAGTTTCCAAGTGAAAATGTTAGCAGGGTCACTGCTGGCTGGGTCCAGGCAGAGCAGGAGAAGGTTGCTCATATCAGGCCCAGAGAGACAACTGAGCACTGGGCCAGACAAGGTGCAAAGCCTTATGGCATTTGAAGGCCCTTGCCATATTTTTTGGAACTGGACTATATGAACTTACTCTGCAAGATAAGTACTTAAGCAGGATTTGAATAAATCGTTGCCTTTCTTAGATTAACACCGAATCAGTTACACACCTTTTCCTAGTGTTGGCTCCCATTCATCAGATGGAAGACCTACCATTAGCCTCTGTTTATGTCATGAAGCTGTGAAAAAGTGAAAGGTTACAAAAGAAACCAAAGCAATTAGTCATCCAATGGGAAGCATACATAAGAAATAAAGACAGCTGGGCCCAGCATAAACAAAAGCAGCTAACAACAAAGTTAACATAAAATGATGAAAAGATGATGACAACACCTCTGAAACTTATTAGGTATAAACTATTCTCTACAGTACCAATGCTTTAGAGGCTGAGGCTGGAGACTGAGTTTGCATCCAGGATGAGTTGCAAAATAAGATCCTGTCTCAAAGACCAAAAAAGTACCTGTGGGCTAAACATTAGCTGGGTGATGGGTAAGAAACATATTTAAAGGTAAATACAGGGCAATTGAGTAGCTATCAAAATTAGAGTTTACAGTTGGGTATGGTGGCACCTGCAGTCTGAGAGTCTGAGCACTTGGGTCCTTGGAGTGCAAGGACTCTGAATTTGAGGCCATCCTGTGCTATACAGCATGACCCTGTACCAAAAACAAAAATTAAAGTTAATAGAATGTTTAACAGAAGAATCCCATTTGATAACAAAGTTAGACTAAGATATTTTTGTTAAATAGTTTTGAAGTGAAAAAATCCAAGAAGGCAATCTAAAGCTTTAGAAAGGCACATAGTTGAATGTGGAACTCATCAGGGAACAAGAACAAAGCAGCCCAATTATCATTAGCAGACGTGCCTTTCTTGCTAGGATTGCTTGATGACCCAAGGTGATGATTAATTCCTTATACCCATTTCTTCCCTCAATCTCCTGATATAAAAAATTATTAATGAGTGGTTATGCACCCAAAGTTTTAAAGTAGAGCTGACTGATTCTTTTTCATATACAAAAGTTTAGGTTTGTGATTCCTTATAAGATTACCTTTCAAGATAAGTAACAATCAGTCCTCTTTTAAAAAAATACCATTTGAAATGATGCACACTAAAGAAACACTTGCACATATGCAGAAAGAAGTATTTACAAGAAAAACAGTGAAATTAAATATCTCAGCATATAGCTAAATAAATTAAGGGTACAGTTATGCAGTGGAATATGATGTGGCCATTAAAAAGAGCATCTCTGTTTACTGATAGAGTTACTATCAGTAACTATCTATCACAGACAGTTACTGTGACAGAGTCCCAGACCTTGGCACAACTGACTCCATGATGGAAGTACCATTCAGGCTGTAAAACTAAGCATGTAGACAGCACCACCTGCCAAAACTAAAACAAGGTCTAAACCCATCAAAGTCCATAGTTACGGGAAAGTCTCTAATATACCAACCTTGTTTTCAGGCTTCTGTAGTTCTGCTTCTGCCTAACTTGTTCTTGTGAACTGAAGTATATCAACCCAGAACATGGTTTTTGTGCTTAAAAGCTCACTCCGAAAAAGGCTCAGGGTTCTAATCAGATCCCGAAAATCCAGTGTAGTCTCCAGCTAGCTAATAAAAATTTTCTATTGACTAAAACCCATACCCAAGCAGTCTTCTCTGGTGAATATTCTACAACAGTTACAATATATTTAATTTGGGTGTAGTGTATGTATGCATCATATTCATGTGTGTGAATACATGTATGCCTGTATGTGTATATGTGGAGGCTAGAGGTTGATATCAGTATCTTCCTATATCATCCTCCATATATATATATATGGAGGACGATATATATATATATATATATATATATATATATATATATATTTTGTTTGTACATTTTTATACCTGTATATGTATGTGTATGTGTATGTGTATGTGTTTGTTTTTTGTTTTCTGAGATAGGGTTTCTCTGTGCAGCCCTGGCTGCCTGGCTATCCTGGAACTCACTCTGTAGACCAGGCTGGCCTCGAACTCAAGGGATCCAAGTCCCTTTGCCTCTTGAGTGCTGGGATTAAAGGCATGTACCATTAACAACCAGCAAGTCAATAGTTTTAAAAAGAGTAAAATTTAGAAATATTTGTACCTTTATGTAAGGATATGTTTATGCTTTTGTTGAGATAGGGTGTCACCACGTAGCCCTGGCTGACCTGGAACTCATTATGTAGACCAGAATGGCCTCTAATTTAGAGATTCACCTGCCTCTGCCTCCCAAGTGCTGGAATTAAAGGCGTGTGCCACCACTGCCCAGCTCCATATCTTTATTTATTTATTTATTTATTTACTTACTTTTTTTTTCCCTTTTTGAGAGAGGGTTTCTCTGTGTAGCTTTGGAGCCTCGCTTGTAGACCAGGCTGGCCTCGAACTCACAGAGATCCACCTGCCTCTTCCTCCCAAGGGCTGGGATTAAAGACATGCGCCACCACTACCCGGCTCCATATTATTTTTTTGAGACCTGATTCAATAAGACTGGCCAACAAGCCTCAGTGATCCTCCTGTCTCTACCTCCCCAGTACTAGGGTTTCAGACAGGCACTACAGCATTTGGCTTTTCACATGGGTGCTGGGAATCTGAACCCAGATTTTATACTTGAACAGCAAGCATTTTACTGGCTCAGCCTTCTCCCCAGCCCCAATATATTTAATTTTCAGAATAAAAGTCATAGAATAATGATGTAATCTGTTCCCACTTAGGCTGAAGAATTTTCAAGCAATATTTTTACCTATGTTTGACAGTATGTGTGTATGTGAGTGTATCTTACATGTGCATGGAAAATCAATTTGTAAGGACAAAGCCCCTGAAAATTAGCTATGACCCTCTAGGTTGAAGTGGAACATGAGAAAAAACCATTTTAAATTTTTTTTTTTTATGAGATGTACTCATGTGATCCCTTTACTCTGTGTTAATTCCTTGGCCACAGGGATGTAACTGTACCGAACCCAAATGAGCAGAATACAGAGTTCAGTTGCAGAGGCCATTTCTGAGGTATCTGTGAATCATCAATTCCCAGGGCCACAGAGAAGAACATTACAGGTGCTAGGCATGGTGGTGAATGCCATAATCCCAACACCTAGGAGGTAGGGCAGGAGGATCAGGTTCAAGGTCATCTTGAGGTACACTGTAAATTAAAGGCCAGCTTAGCCACATGAAATTGAACAGAAGGACTGTTAGAGGTAACGATTCCCAATGAGCAGTATGAGGACAGATCCGGAAGAACAAAATAAAAGGAGGCAGGAATGGCTTCGGGGACCCTTCACAGTACCCTGTGGATCTCAATGCTAAGCAGCACCCATTTGACTTTGCCCTTGGTGATCTGAGAAACAGGCAAGGGAGCTGGGCAACAGAAGGAGTTATACTACCTTGCATGAGCACCTCCATGGCTGTCCGAGGCTTAGATAGCCGTCTCTCCTCTAGCTCACTATCAGATTCATCGTCCTCTTGGATGTCTATGTCTGAGTCATCATTACCTGACAGGAAGAACAGAAGGCAGAATAAAGGAGTAGTTCTTGCATTACAGCCAAACATCTCCTGTCTATTAAGGCTTCAGTGCAAAAGCATCTGCCTTTCTTGGCCCCTTTTCATCTATTAGCTTTTATGAGACCCCTTGGATTTTCTCAGGTACTAGTGAAGTGTTAATGCAGCTCATAATAGAGCAATTTTTCAAAGCAAAAAGAATGTGGACCGTGTTATGACAGACTGAATTTTTCACAAACTGAGTAGCTGGCTGTCAAGGTAGCTGGAAGCCCTTGGCTAATGGGGGAGGGAAAGCCACTCTGTCCTATGCCAGGCTGTCACTAAGAGTCCTGACCTTAACAAAGATAAAGAAGTGGAGCTAGATGAAGAAGATAAAGCAGGATGGAGGCGAGGAGGGAGCCCAGGCTTGGGCAGCAAAGCAGGATATCCCGAGAAAGAAAGTGCACTAGTACATGACATTCTTCACTGGGGAAAGTTCTAGATAAAGGCTACATTGGGTCCCTGGGATTGTGGCTCAGTGGTAGAGCATGTACTCACTTTCTGCAAAACTCTGGGTCCAATTCCTAACCCCCCCACAAAACTAATTAAGAAAGCTATTTTTAAAAATAAATTGTATTTATTTTGGAGGGGTGTTCATGAACGTACTCTATAAAAGGGATTTTCAGTGCAATTGCTTTTTTGTTTTTTTCAAGAGCAATCACTTTTTTTTTTATTAAAAAATTCTCAGTGTGTGTGTGTGTGTGTGTGTGTGTGTGTGTGTGTGTGTGTGTGTGTGTGTGTGTGCTTGTATGCCATATGTGTGGGGAGGCTTGTAGAGACCTGAAGAGGATGCTGGGATTCCCTGGAGTTGGTGTTAAAGGCATTAAAGGCAGTTGTGGGGTACTTGGTATGGGTGCTGGAAACTGAAGTAGGGTCTTCTGGAAGAGCAGCAAGGGTTCTTAATCATCCTCTCCAGCCCTGAAATCACTCTATACACATTTAAAAAATAGTCTTTGTGCCTATAACCTATGAACATTTTCTAGACAGAACCAACAGAGAGAGACTATATTGGGGAGAAAAATCTCTCATTGCTTCGTGCCTCACTAAGCCCAGGGAGTGACGGGTGGGAAGGAGGAACTTGGAAAGATTTGCAGTCGTTGGTCTGACATTGACTTAGAAGTCAGCCTGGAAATCCAGCAGTTGTTGGTCTTCCAAAAGGCTTTCCTTTGTGCCTATATGAGATAACTGTATCCACCCAGGAACTATGGAAGGCAACTTGCTTCCTTTAGCCAAAGGAAGAAGAGCTGTGTTTTTCAGTTCATGAGGGAAAGCCTAGAGCTGGTGACAGTGTCACAAAGGGATCCCTCAAGATCACCACCACAATCTCCTAAAAGTTTTTATACAGACAATGGATTCATATTAACATAATTTAATAACTATAACACAAAATCACCACTCAGTTTAGTTTCCTTCTTACTTCATCCATGAAAATTTGATATCAATGAAATATAGATCACTATACCACTTGTTTTCTGTCTTGACTAACCTAGAACTAAAGCAGCAGGAGTGGCTTGGCTAGAGACACTTTTCAGGTTTTCTAAACCTGTTCTTAGAGGATTCCCCGAAGTTCCTGCTCTCTTTCGAGGGCTCTCTGAGAACAGGTACAAAGGAGATAAACACAAAGGGAACAGGCAAGTTGGGGGAAGAGCTAAATGGTCAGGTGTATTGTCTTGACCCTGAGAATAAAAACATCTTATGAAAACAGAGAAGTAGCAAGAGAAGTGTAATGGTGATGAGGCAGGAAGATAACACAACGCAACTGTGGTGTAGCAGGAAGACCACACACTGCTACGGCTCCCAGTGTTGGATGGACGCCCTGATGTTGTCCCGGTGAGCAATGCCAGCTCATCATGGAATCCCAGAATCTAGGTCTCAAGTTTAGTGCATTTTCCTATAGGTGAGAGCCTTACTGAGCACTCCTGGATGACTGTATGGCATCTGCCAACGAGCAATGGTCCCTTCATAGATACTGCATGAAACAGTTGCTTTTTTAGCATGCTCTATAACGGGACCATTCATACTACTAGGAACAATTTGTCTTTCATAATTATTTATTACATAAATTCAAGCTAACTGTAGTATTTAATGAGACAAAAATGTTGTATCATAGGAAATGAATATTAGTTAGATGCTGTGTAATTAGAAGCAAGCTTTGATATTATTATTATTATTGAAAAAGACTCTAGCCTGGTGGTGGTGGCATATGCTTTTAATCCTAGCACTTGGGAGGCAAAAGCAGGAAGATCTCTGAGTTTGGTGCCAGTCTGGTTCTAAAGAATGAGTCCCAGAACAGCCAGAGCTACCCAGAGAAACCCTGTCTTGAAAGACAAAAACAAAAACCTAAACAAAAACACAGAAGAAAATAGATTCTTCTCTCATATAATTCATCCCGACTACAGTTTCCCTCCCTCCACTCCTCCTAGCTCTCCCATTTCCCCAGGTCCATCCATTCCACCTCATTTCCTCTTCAGAAAAGAGCAGGTCTCCAAGAGATGACAGCCAAACAAGACAAAACAAGATAGTTACAATAAGACAAGGTGAAAGCCTCATATCAAGGCCAGACAAAGCAACCCAGTAGGAAAAAGAGTCTCAAGAGCACCTGGTGCAGACCTGTGCTTCCGTTTTAGCCTCTGTGAGCTGTCTGAGTAAACTCAAATGGTACTTAATATGAAAGCTGTGAGAAAATTGCTTTCAGGAAATATTTTTGCACTTCTAGTCAACAATGACAGATTTGTTAATGTTTAAGAGGACAAATACCATCTATATTCTTATTACAATTAAAATTTGAGAGAAAAAAATTAAAGAAAATAAAATATTTCTTAAAATGTAAGTAACTCATTGACTTACATGAGAAATGTAACTCACTGTATACCTGTCAACAACCTGATGACCTGAGTTTGAGTCTCAGGAATTCATGTAAAGGTGAGAGGAAAAGAACCAATCACAGAGTTGTCCTCTGACCTCAACATGTGCTCCATTGCACACCCACAGCTGCACACTCACACACACACCACACACACACACACACTACACACTCACATACACACACTCACCACACACACACTACACACTCACACCACACCTCCCACTCACACCCACACCCTCTCTCTCTCTCTCTCTCTCTCTCTCTCTCTCTCTCTCTCTCTCTCTCTCTCTCTCTCTCTCTCTCTCTCTCTCTCTCTCTCTCTCTCTCTCTCTCTCTCTCTCTCTCTCTCTCTCTCTCTCTCTCTCTCTCTCTCTCTCTCTCTCTCTCTCTCTCTCTCTCTCTCTCTCTCTCTCTCTCTCTCTCTCTCTCTCTCTCTCTCTCTCTCTCTCTCTCTCTCTCTCTCTCTCTCTCTCTCTCTCTCTCTCTCTCTCTCTCTCTCTCTCTCTCTCTCTCTCTCTCTCTCTCTCTCTCTCTCTCTCTCTCTCTCTCTCTCTCTCTCTCTCTCTCTCTCTCTCTCTCTCTCTCTCTCTCTCTCTCTCTCTCTCTCTCTCTCTCTCTCTCTCTCTCTCTCTCTCTCTCTCTCTCTCTCTCTCTCTCTCTCTCTCTCTCTCTCTCTCTCTCTCTCTCTCTCTCTCTCTCTCTCTCTCTCTCTCTCTCTCTCTCTCCCACACACACACACACACACACACTCACACACACATACACACACACATTCACACACATAGGACAAAAACCTTAAATCTACAAGGAACCTTCTCAAAGCTGAAGGCTCTAGTCAGAACTAGCAGACTTACTTCCACTCTTGAGCAGCCGCTTTTCCTCTTCCTTTAGCTTATTCTGCATTAGACGGAGAGTATTTTCAGCTTCCTGTGGAGGAGAAAGACTAGATTAAGGATGATGACCTTTGATCTGATTCTACACCACCATGTGAATACTACAGTGTCTGTCATACAGAACTCACCCCCCCCCAAAAAATCAAAACAAAACAGACTTTAGGAGGTAGCTTAAGGGGATAGAGACATGGCTCAGTGGTTTAGGGCACTGGCTGCTCTTACAGAGGACCCTGGTTCAATTCCTTGTATCACACAGTGGCTTGCAACCATCTGTTACCACCAATGTAGAGAATATGATGTCTTCTTTTGGCCTCTGAGTGCACTGTACATGATGCACAGACATACATGCAAGAAAAATACCAATACACAAAACAGACATTCATAAACCTTTTTTAAAAATTTAAAAAATTTACCTAAGTAACCTATGCAGTCCATATACCTGTGCTCTTTCTCTGCCATCTATCCAGCAGCTTGTGGGGATGGCCTAGGCATTTGATGTTCCAGCCCTATACCCTCCTACTACCACTAGAACTCTGGAAGAAATGAGTGACACTACACAAGTTCACTATGTGTGCCTGTAAGGGCAGTGGACACAGGAAATATGTCTAACACAGATAGGCACAGTTCTCCGCTCAGAACAAAAGAAGGCAGAACTGTTTGCACATTTCTGCCTGTACAGAGTCACCACTCCAATCTAAGATGCTAATGGCAGATCAGGATGCCGGGATAACAAGGAAATACTGGTCTTAGTTCCTGGTGTATGGCCAGAAGGAGGCAATATGTCAGGTATGTTGTCAAATGGAGCCCCAATTAAGCTGGGCATGGTTAACATGTATGTTATAGTTCCGGCACTTAGGAGGCTGAAGCAAGAGGTTGGACTGAGCAACACAGCAAGACACTGGCCTCCCCACCCTCAAACAGGCAAGCCAATATAAGGCAGAAAGGGGAAAACACCACATGTGCACTTCTGGCCTCCCTATGCACACGCACCCATACACATGTGAGAATGCACATAACACACAGACATGTTCAAATGCAAAACATCAATCAAACTAAAAAACTGGCTTTTAAATTTTGTTTGGTGTTGTAAGCATTAAAAAAAATGCCCTTTGCTGGGTGGTGGTGGCGGCAGCGGCAGCGGCTCACGCCTTTAATCCCAGCACTTGGGAGGCAGAGGCAGGCGGATCTCTGTGAGTTAGAGACCAGCCTGGTCTACAAGAGCTAGTTCCAGGACAGCCTCCAAAGCCACAGAGAAACCCTGTCTCGGAAAAAAAAACAAAACAAAAACAAAAAAACAACAAAAAACCCCCCAAAAAACCCAAACAAACAACCAACCAACCAACAAACAAAAAAAATGCCCTTGTATTAGGCATGGGAAAGGGCAGAGCAAACACAGGCCCTTCCAGGTCACTTCACAGGTCACAGGTCACAGGTTACAGGTCACATTTCCTCTTCTCACTGCCCAAACCCTGGTAACACATCTAATACTTGACAACCAAGAATCCACGCTGTGGAGTCAGCAAGGCAGAGGAACCACTCAAGTAGCCTGTAGCGTACATTCTCATACCACGATACACACAAATCTATATGGCTCAGAGTGTAGAGTAACCCAGAAGGACTTACTTCAAACCTCTCCTGCTCCATCCTGTGATGATCCTCAAGTTGCTGCTCCAGGTAAGCCAAGTTCCGGAATTTCTCTAGATAAATGTCATACTGCTTTTGCAATTCTTCCTCAATCTTCTCATACTCATCCATAAAGGCTGGCCTAAAGTGAGCAAATGAAGTAAAGAGTAAGTTAGTCAATTTACAGTAGTTTGAAATTTGTATTTAAGAGTTCCAACTTCCATCATCATGACTTTCTTTGAAATATATCATGAAACCTCTCATTACACAAGGTCCCCACTCTGCTAACTGCTTAAAAGTAACTTGCCTGTTCTCTTTTCTACCCACATATGTCATCACACCCAACCAGAAATGTATTTTTTAATAAAAATTAAAAGGTAAATTAGCAAGTCGTTTTGTGGATTTCACTTCAATGGATCACAGGATCCAAAAGGGTTAACAGTCACGTGCCATACACACTTCTGTAAATCACTAAGTTATTTATTTGTTTTTGGTTTTTTGAGGCAGGGTTTCTCTGTGTAGCTTTGAGTGCCCTGGAATTCGTGCTGTATACTAGGCTGTGCTCAAACTCACAGAGATCTGCCTACCTCTGCCTTCTGAGTGCTGTGATTAAAGAATTAAACATATGCATTATCTGAGCTGGTATAATATTCTACTATGGACATGACACAACACAGTCTTCCTGATAGGGGATGCATTTCTGTATACTGTGATTATATGTTTCTCTTATTGGTTGGCGAATAAAGCTGTTTTGGCCAAAGGACCGGCAGAACATAGCCAGGAAGGAATGATAGATGGGGCCACCAGACAAGGAGAATGCTGGAAAGAGGAAGGCAGAGAATGAGTTGTGAGGGGACACCACACCACACAGCTGCTGGGAAGGTAGGATGCCTGGGCATTCTCTGGTAAGCCAAGACCACATAGAGATACACAGATTAATAGAAATGGGTTAATAATTAAGAGAGAGCTAGCCAATAAGAAGCCTGAGCCACTGGCCCAACAGTTTACAGTTAATATAAACACCTGTGTGTTTATTTGGGACTAACTCCAGAACCAGGCAGGACAGAAACTTCCATGAACATCTTCCAAACACGTAAAGAGGCTACTGCAAATGAGAGCTGTTTTAAAATAAAATAAAACTTAAAACCTGTGACAAAAGGCTATTTCAACTGGTTGGCTAAATTTTCTTTTTTCCTCTTAGCATTAATTTTCCCTTCCTTTTCTCTTTTACTTTCCTCCCTGATTCTCCCAAGTGCCAGGATTACAGGCATGTAACACCATGCCTAATTTTGTTATTGATCTTAATGGGAAAACTCTTAAAAAAAATACAATGAGTGGGGTGTTGGTGGCGCACGCCTTTAATCCCAGCACTCGGGAGGCAGAGGCAGGGGGGGCTCTGTGAGGTAGAGACCAGCCTGGTCTACAAGAGCTAGTTCCAGGACAGCCTCCAAAGCTACAGAGAAACCCTGTCTTGAAAAAAAAAAATTACAATGAGGGGCTGGAGAGATATCTTGGCAATTAAGGGCACTGGCTGATTTTCCAGAGGATAAGAGTTCAGTTCCCACTGCCTATTTGGTAGCTCATAATCTGTAACTCCAGTTCAGTGGGATCTGGTACCTTCTGTTGTCTGCATGCACCAGGCATGCACATGGTACATGGGAATACATGCAGGAAAAACATCCATACATATAAATATTTGTTTGTTTATTTATTTATTTTGGTTTTTTGAGACAGGGCTTCTCTGTGTAAATAGCCCTGGCTGTCCTGGAACTTGCTTTGTAGATCAGGCTGGCTTCAAACTCAGAGATCCACCTGGTTCTGCCTCCTGAGTGCTGGGATTAAAGATGTGTGCCACCACCACCTGGCTATAAATTTTTAAAAATGAAAATTAGCTGTAAAGGAATGTGCCTGTAGTTCCATCTCTTCTGGTGGCTGAGGTGCTAAGACACAAGGGTCCCTTTAGCTCAGGAGCTGGGAGCCTGAAACTTTTACTGAAAAATTCAAGGTATATCCTGGATCTTTTTCAGAAAAGCTGCTTTTCACATGAATGGAGGCTTTGAACACCACCTTCCACCTGAGCTGAGTATGTTCTCTTTTCAAATTTAAGCTCCCCTGAGTATATCAAAGTCTGGACTTGGGTTAAGCTCTTGGTACCAATGTCCTGATAGGAATGTTGGATGCCAGCAATCAAGTAAGGCACAAATTTGTGGATAGACCCTTTGTCCTGCACATTCCCCAAAACTCCTTGGGCCACTTTGATTTCGTCAGCTTCACTAAGAATCAATTCTAGCTGCTGAGATGCTTGTCCATGGTATCAAGAGAGTACATACCAAAAATATGAAACACTTCATGAATTGTGCATGGGGCCATGGTAATTCTATTGTTTTATTTAGTATATGTGCAGCTGAAGCAAACACCTGAAACAGCTTTTAAAATAACACAGGAATAGGGAATGTGATGGTTTGAATGAGAATGACCCCCACACCCTCATATATTTGCATACTTGGTCCCTAGTTGGTGAGACTGCTTGGAAAGGATTAGGAGCAGTGGTGGCCTACCTGGAAAGGTGTGCCACTGGGTACAAGCTACAAGATTTCAAAAGACTAGTTCTATCTCTCCTGTTTATAGCTCAAGATGTGAATTCTCAGTTGTTTCTGCTGCCATGCCTTTGTTCCATCATGGATTCTAACCTCTGAAACCATACGGCCAGCTAAATGCTTTCTTTTATAAGTTACCTTGGTCATGGTAACTTTTGTCACAGCAACAGAAAAGTAACTTAAGACAGAGGATGAAACACAGAGGGAAAGAGAACATTAATCTTTTAAACCAGAATAAAGCAACTTACCCTATTAAAAAGGGCTTGCAGGGTATAGTGGTGCACACCTCTAGTTCCAGCACTTGGGTGGCAGAGGCAGGCGGATCTCTGTGAGTATGAGGCTAGCATGGACTATAGAATGAGTTCCAGGACAGCCAGAGATACATAGGGAGATCCTGTTTTGAAAAACCAACCAAAAAAAAAAAAAAAACAAAAAAAAAAAAAAAACAAAACAAAACAAAACATGATTTAGGGCTTAACTGGAATGAATTATGCTTTAAAGACGACTTTGTTAGTGAATCCAAGGACTCTTGTAGCTGTGATTTCAGCAGAGGAAAGAGCAAGGCCCTGGCATGAATGGGAGGACCCTGGGTGCCTTCTGTTTGCCAATGCTCACTCCCAAGCTTGTGGAAAGAAAAGCAAAAAATGCTGAGGCCAAGGAGGGAAAATATAAAGCAAGTAAAGAGAAGAACACAAGGAAAATATGAGGAATATATAAAAGGTTCCATTGACACAGGCAATGTTCTGGGCCACTATTACACTTCTTTGTTCCCCAGGACTGTTTTTCCACTGAGGCAAAGTCATAAGAAAGATAAATTGTTAACAGGTGAGGAATTATCAATGTGAAAAGTGTAAAATCTACCAAAACCAAGAGCAGACGTATATTCTATTTCAATTTAATTTATGACAAGATTTTAGAAGGCCAAACCTGGTATAACTCATCATCTGGATTTACTTTGTCTCATGTTCAAAGAAACCACAAAACTTTGAAGAAAGCTCCAGAGTTCAGCCATGTTGCAGACATATTGAAAGCAGTACAGAGAGCGAGCCAGTGTAGCAGTCAGCATTTAGAACAGGCAGCAAAGAAACTGTAACATGGGGTCTCTGTGCATGAGGCTGCATTCTGATGCTTGAACAGCTAATGCCACTTACATTCTTTCAACCTTATTTCCACCTTTCACAGACACTAGCTACTCACTCTACCTGACACTCTGCAGGGTCTGTAGTCGCTTCCGATTTCTTTCCAGTTCTAATTTTCTCTTTTCAATTTTGGCTTCCAAGTTAGCTTCATCAGAGGCCACATTATTGAGTAGGTCTTTAGTCTTCTGAACCTGTGCCTACATTGAATAAGAAATATTGAGAAAAAGTGCTGGGGGTGGGAATGGGGTGGTGGGAGGGCATTACCCGACTCTGGGCACAGAACTCCTTAATACTTTGGGCAAAGCAACATCACATACACTATACACTAAAACATAACATAAAGCGTAACATACAACAAAATATTACCCATCCCCTACTGCAACTTATGTAACAAACTTTTCAGAGACAGGAGTGAAAGAAGGATAACACATAGACAGAAAAAAAAATTACCATTCTTTTCATGAAAAGTGGATGTTCCTCTCCAAGGAAACACACAAAAGTAGAAAGAAGAATGCCTTTGAAGTGCTTTTTAATTTGAGCACTGATTGTCTCCTATTTAACTGATATATACTATAAACTATTGTAATTCATTTATGTTGATGTGCAAACAGTCCCTGGTTTGATCAGGGGAAGTCCATCAAGTTGGCACCATGTCTCTTCTACAGACTCTTGGTAACTTTGAACGCCTCTGTTCCTCCTGGAACAATAAGAGGTTGTATGTATTTCTCCCAACCAGCTCTAGAATGAGCCATTTTTCTTGGGTTCTCTGGTTCCCATTAGTGGAGAATGGTATTTAAAGGCCAAGATCCAGGTGCTAGGTATACCCAGAGCTTAGAAAAGTGTGATAGTAGATATATACATACACAAACACATGGTACATCTACAGGTGTGTACATCTCTAGCAAAACTTAACTGACACTGAGTGAGTGAGTGAGTGAGTGAGTGAGTGGGATAAGATGGTGAGCATCTACTTGTTAGAGTGCAGCTTAGAATGAGGGCCTGCAATTAGCTCAGTGGTAAAGTGCTTGTCTAGTATATATAAGGCCCCCAGTTCTAAAACCTTCTCTACACAGAGACAAAAAGAAAGCCTGGAAATCATTTAAATGCCCAGTAGTAAGGAGTTGGCTAAATAAAATAGGAGAATAGTCACCAAAATATTGAAATAAGAACTGTTTAATTACTTTAAAAGTGGTGAATTTTTAACAACTTGAGAAACTGCTTTTACTTCTGAAAGGAATAGTAGTAGCTATAGCATAGAAATCCTAAAATATCCTCTAACTATCCCCTAAAATATCTCTTGTTTCTAGGCTTCTCTTATTCTGTCTGATACACAGAGAAAATAATTTTTGAGTCCCAGGTGTAAAAACAACAAATAATAGCAGTATAATCTTACCAAAATATCTTTTATTGCAATTCTCATCACTTTTTCAGTCTCGTTTATTTCTAGAGGTCTAGCAATGGCTTCTGTTCTCATTTCCTAGGAGAGATAAAATAACTTACACAGTTTGCAACAAGGAGTTCAGTTTTTAATTTCTAATAGTTGCCATTTTTTTTTTTTCTTTCTTGAGAGCCTTGTTCTTTCCTGAGATACGCTTGGATGCGTATCTCCCCATCCTCAGACTCCAAACTGCTGGATTTCAGATTTATGCCCCCCCAAAGTATGTGACATATATATTACACTAATTCTCCAATGTTTGGCACAGTGATAGAAACTATGGCTCACCATGTACAAGGCCTGGAATTCAATCTCTGATATCACAAGAAAATGAAAAGCAAAATTTTATACTAGTGTATATCTCTGAACAAAACATCTCTTGTCATAACCTTCTATAAATGGCCTCCAATGCCTACGTGGGCTCTCCTCATATTTAAAGTCTTCATTTTCAGCTCAAGATTCTGTGTGATCCTAACTCAAATGGCAAACATGAAATTAATATCCATTAGCTTTACTCCTAATGCTTCTATTTAGATGACCCACCCTATACACAGACAGCTCGCTGTCTGTCTGTATATCCATCAGCCCTGTAGCTAAGCTTCTACTTCTGCTTGTGCCTAAAGTAGAAATGGGAGTTAGGTATGACAATGAAATGACAAAGCAGCGAGAGCAATGGCGGCTGACATACTTGAAAGAGAGTAAGGAAATGAAGTCTGTTTACAGTATACAAAACGTTATACTGAGAACGAATGCTTTAAATACCATCAGTGTGTACACATAAGGACTCAATAATACTTTTCTTCTAAAACCAGTGGTTCCCAAACTGCTGTTTTGTTGGAACCTGATGCTGACTCGTATTGAGAAAGCCTGGCATGGGAGTTGTGTTCAATGTTCAGCCAAGTTTGGGAACCATGCTTAGACAACTATTCATGGAATAGATGGAGCACATTGGATGATCGGCACTGGAAAGTATGTTTAATAGCAACATCTTCCTCTGACTACCTCTAAGTGCTACTTAGATCACTGGCCACACACTTTTGTAATCACCTGGGGAACATTTGAAACTCCGGATGCCCAGCTCATATCCCATAACAGTGACACCAGCAGGAAAGCCAGTTTTATAAAGATCAATGGGTAAGTCTGGGGAGGAGTGAGTACTAGGAGCCAGGGACTGAGGTACACTATTGAGAACAATGCGGAGAAGAGGCACAAGGAAGAAAGTCACAGCTTCATGCTGTTTTTTACCAATCCTGGACTGGAAGCTAAAGATATTAACAATCACAGAATGGAAAAGGGCAAGTAGACACAAAGTCCTACTCCTAACCAAGGAGCTATTTGCAATTGATAGCTACGAGGAGAAGGAAGATCAGTTTTCTTCAGTGCAGTGACACTGTGTATATTAGCCATGCTCCAGGGTAGGCCTCATGCTCATAAGTACTTGGCCAACACAAATGGACTCAATGCTTTTTGTTTTGTTTTGGTTGTCTTTTGTTTTTTAGAGAGAGAGGAAAAAAAAAACCATGATGTTGGGTATGTAAGGGAGGCAAGATCTGTGAGAAGTTGGAGGAGGGGAAGGAGTATAATTAAAATATATTGTATAAAAATATTTTTAATTAAAAAAAAGTAAAACCTGTAGACCATTATCTACTAGAATCAGGAAAGGGTTCATATCCTATACCAATTTCCCACACATTAACCCACTCAATCAGGTACAGTTGAGTAAAGACTGGAAGAATTATAAGGCAAGAAGCAAGAGAAAACTCATTCCTTAATTGAACACTACTTACCCTCAGCTCAACCTCTTTGCCCAGCAGGTCATACAGAGATGCTCCTTTGGCAGTAATTTCAGAAGCAAGTTGTCTGGCTGCTTTTAAGTCTGCAATCTGGAAGGAAAATTGCAAATACAGAACCTCATTTTTCAATAGGCATTCAGCTGCCACTCTGTGAACCTCAACCATTTCCTTCAGACAGGTTTATAACTATAGAGCACATGTTTCTGCAGCCCTATTTACTACTGTAGAACACAGCTCCCAAGACGCCAACTTAGAGAACACCAGTTCAAATGGGACCAATTTCAGGACATCTGGTCTCTCAGAAAGCCAAATGTGAAGTCAAACTCAATTCACAACTAAGTGGTATAAGTGACAGAAAGCTGACATGCCTCTAATTGGACTGGGTCTCTAATAGAATGACCAAAGGGGCAACCTGAGAGACATTCTCCTGCAGCATCCAAGGCCAGAGCCTTAGCCTTTCCTCCAAAAAGCTGCTATGATGCCAGGAGGTAACTTCTGCTTAGTAATCAGAATCTCCTGGACCATCACAGGGGACAATTGGCAGGAGATGATCCCAGCAACTTTGATGATGACTCAGCATCCAGACTTTCTTAGGATGTGTGCATTACCTTCTTCCTTCAGTGTGTTAAATTCCCAAGGAGCCCAAACATCAACAGGAATCCTTGCTCTCTCTACTTTTAACCTGTCAGCAACAGCTCTCAGCAGATTACTTCCCTAACCTTTTCTTTTCTCTCTCTCTCCCCTCCCTCCCTCCCTCCCTCCCTCCTTCCCTCCCTCTCTCTCTCTCTCTGGTTTGTTTGAGACAGGGTTTCTCTGTGGCTTTGGAGGCTGTCCTGGAACTAGCTCTGGAGACCAGGCTGGTCTTGTCTCGAACTCACAGAGATCCGCCTGTCTCTGCCACCTGAGCGCTGGAATTAAAGGTGTGCGCCATCATCGCCCACCTGGCTTCCTTCCCTTTTCTTTGGTCCCACCCTGCACCCCCTCCATCTACTATTCTAGCTCCTCCTCTTAAGGCCCAGGGTACTACCTCCACTCCACCTGCTTCTCCTGGCAGCAACTACCCACATTGCTCTCTAAGATTTACCTCACTGTTTCCACCTCTCAGCAATGGTATAGGTATAGTCTCTGGCATCTTCATCCTAACAGGTGCTTCTAACCCCATGGTTTTAATCCCCTGCATGTTGATGCCTTCTAAGTGCCAGCTTCAACATCACATACAAACTCTTGTGAGGCATTTCCACTCGGACATCCAAACGGACTGATAAGCTTACCACGTCCGAAGGCAAACTCAGAACAAAAATTTCACTATCCATACTGGCTATTTTTATATTGAAATTACTAGACCTCATTTCCTTGATTAAAGAATACAGCCCAGATGCAGCCCTTAGCACATCAACACATCAAGTCTGATGTTCTGTAAATGGTTTGAGGATCTTCTTCATGCCGTCTCATCTACCTCAATTCATACCCAAACCCAGAAAAATCTACCAGATGGTAAAAGGTGCTTGCCACAAGGATCTATGTGGTAGAAGGAGAAAACCAAGCCCCAGGTGTAGTGACATTGCCTGAAGATCAGAGTGCAGAGCTAAACCACTAGAGGTCAGGGAGTGGTGGCAAACACCTTTAATCCGAGAACTCGGCAGACAGAAGCAGAGGGATTTCTGTTAGTTCAAGGACATCCTGGGCTATATAAGAATGAATCTGCCTAAAAGAAAAACAGTTCACACAAAGGTGATCTCACTCAGCACTAAGGAGGCAGAGACAGGAGTGATATGGCTGGGTGAAGAGAAGAAGATAAGGCAGTTAAGTCTAAGGAGCATGCAGTCTGAGGAGCAGTGCAGTCTAAGCAGTCTGAGGATGCAATTTGAGAACAGGATCACCCCTTTTTTCTGAGCATTGGTAGAGGTGAGAACTCTCTAGTGGCTGGGCACTTTGCTTCTCTGATCTTCAGCATTAACCCCAATATCTAACTCTGAGCTTTTATTATTAAGAACAATTAGAATTCATGCTACACCCAGGTTAACCTCTGACCTTCTTGCCTACACATATAAATTACCTTTTAACAATGTCTGAACCTCAATTGTGAGCTCTGGCTCCTGGTATGTGCCTGTGGAGTACAAGCATAATAATCAATGCTTTCTCTGGCAGGCCTCAGAGAAAAGAGCTGTCCTGGCATCAGATTAATGTGTGTTCTTAGCTGGGATTTTTTTTTTTTCATTCCTCAGTTTTTCATCTGCTATGAGCCATAGAATCATTCAGCAATTAATCAGCCTCATTTCACAAGGTCAACCAATCAGAGTCAGGGACTCTGTTTGGAGGATTAGGCCAAGATGCAAGGTATGTTGGAATTATTGCCTTGTGAATAAAGTTAAAGTGGCCGTTTCTTGTAAATTTCTCATTGTAACTTATCCCCTTTTGTTACAAACTTGAGATCTATTTCCCACAGTTCAGCACTATTTGATCATTTATTGGGCACAATTTCCCCTATGCATTTGGGGTATATTGATAACATCAAACTTAAGATTTTAAGATAAACTATTACCAAAATAATACAATGTTACTTACTTGGTCATGTAGCCAGCTATATTTCTTATTGAGACAAGGTAAATAGTGCAGAGTAACCTAATTGCAGTACCGGGGACAACAAGTAGCTCTTTGCATGGATTCCTAACCTCAGTTTTATGACCTTGTTCAGACACCATGGGGCAAGAGTCCCTGACTCTCCAGGGCTAGCTACAAAATATAAACTAACTGAATAGCCCCAAAATATAGTTACAAGCTTCTCTTTCTATGGCAGGGTTACATGCTGGACAGAAAAATGTATTTTAAGATTTAAAGTGCTTTTAAAGTCACTGTGCCTCTGCTAATGCTGTATGGGCTCCTCTGCCCCTTGTCCCTGCAGCTCACACTGCAGCTCTCCCTCTGAGGACACTTTAGTAAAGAGACAAGTCTCCAGTCTGAGGAAGCCTGACATTTATGACCACCAATCACAAAATGTTTAAGATGTTTTATACTCTCAAAAGTACAGGATATAACACACAATTTCCTTAATTCTCTTACTAGTTTAGTCCTATAAGGTTACCTCTATAGATAAAATAACAGAAAAGACTTCTCCTTTTACAGCTGCTGTTTGCAGCCCACTAGTTAGGAAGTTAACAAAAAGAAAGTACTCTTTTCTTCCATCTGGATTTAATGCACTGTGAATTGCTGGAATGACTCTGTTTCTTACCATTTACTTAAGAAATGGTATGTGTCCTAGAGATGAAGACCTGCAAGATTTCATGGGTCTTTATAGGCTGGGTAGAGCAAAGAGGGTAAGAGAAGAAGCTGGGGCAGAAGCTGGAGCAAAAGCTGGCAGAAATTACCAGAAATAGAAAAATGAAGAAGACAAAGAAAAAGAATGTAGCAGAGAATTGAAATTGGAATCAGAATTGAGACAGAGAATTAAGAGTCTAGAAATTACAGACAGTTAGGACAGAAGAATTAGGAGAGAGGCAGAAGAAAAAAAGTGGAACAAAAGAAACACGCTGAAGAGAAGCTTCGTGTGAGCTCATTCGATTCTTTTACCTTAGACATTTCCCTCCCTGGCTGTAGAGCCTTAGCTGGACCCTGAAGGGGTCTTAGGGGCTTGTACCCCAAAAGACCCCATTTCCCATTTGAGCCTTGAGCTGAGAATATCTTTAATTGCTTCTGATGAGGCCTTTTAATGGCAAGATGTGAGAAAGCCCTTATATGGTAACCTAGTAGCTTTCCACTTTTTTGTTTTGTTTTTGTTTTTTCAAGACAGGGTTTCTCTGTGTAACCCTGGCTGTCCTTGAACTCGCTCTGTAGGCCAGGCTGGCCTCTTATTCAGAGATCTACCTGCCTCTGCCTCAGAATTGAAGGCGAACAACACTACTACCTGGCTTGGTTTTCCATTTTTGACCTTTTCCCCATCTCGGGTCTGTGGAATTTCCAGAGCCTTTTGTTGGGAACTCTGAATGAGCAGTTGCTATTTCCTCTAGTCTAAAGTCCTGATATATCATCACGGCAAGTGAATAACAACTTAGCTTTCTGTGGCTTGTTGCTTCTATAAGCTGCTCAGAGACCGGGCAGCTCAGCACTAAATGAGTCCCATCACCTATCCAGCCCTTACGTTTTCTGAGATGGGGACTTTCTAATTCCCAAGACTGGCTTAAAACTCTTGGGCTCAAGGGGCCTTCCAACCTCAGGCTCCCAAGCAGCTGAGAAGGCAGGTGCATGCCTCCTTGTTTGGCTGAGAGGAAACTCAAAGCCTATACATCTCTGCTGAAAACCCCATTGTCCACCTCAGAGTAAAAGTCAAAAGGCTTTTCCGAGGCCAGAGGATTTGCTGTATTTCCCTCTTAGCTTCCACCAGAGGGCTTCAGCCCTTTTTCTTAAATATCCAAAGTACATTTTCATCTTGAGACACTAGTCCCCACCCCCACTTCCATGACAGAAGTGAGAGGGAAGGGATCACGATCTAGCCCTGGCGGCCCCACTGCACGCCCTGTGTGTGACAGCCCTGCCCCTCACACACTCCATTCCCACACTGCTCTGCTGTTCTCCAGGGCACTGACTACATCAGACCTTCTACAACTTTATCACTGTTGTTCATACTCTGATTTCTCTAACTGACAACAGGAACCAGGACTTCTGTCCTCTTTGTTTATGCCTGTATCCCCAGTGCTTGAACACTGTCTGATAAAATTAGGCTTTAAAACAATTGGATTTGGGGCTGGAAAGATGGCTCAGAAGTTAAGATCACTGACTGCTCTTCCAGAGGTCCTGAGTTCAATTCCCAGCAACCACACGGTGGCTCACAACCATCCTTTATGAGATCTGGTGTCCTCTTCTGGTGTGCAGATATACATGGAAGCAGAATGTTGTATACGTAATAAATAAATAAAATCTTAAAAAAAAAAGAAAGACCCTGTCTCTCAAAAAACTTTAAAAAAAAAATGGATTTATTGTGACTCTGTTTTCATCCCCACACTAATGAGAACAAACTGTTGCCACAAACTGGACAAATGCCCTAAGTCTCCAGGCAAGGAAGGGGTGCTGCAAGTCAGACATACTCTATGCCAATTTGAGAAACAAATATTCCCTAGACACAGACTTCACCATCCTTACCTTAGAGCCAAGATCAAACTTGAATTTGCTGATATCTTCCTCTCCTACTTTAGAGCCCTCCATCCCTTTGGTCTTCATAGCATTATAAAGAACAGATGTGATCTTCAACAGTTCTTTCACGGCATACCCATCTGCTTGATAAAGCTTCTTAGTATTGAGTTTTATATGTGCCTTTGTGGCCTGTTTTGAGACAGACAAAAATCCATTTTTTTTTTTGTTTTTTGTTTTTTTGTTTTTCTTCAGACAGGGTCTTACTATGTAACCCAGGCTGGCCTAAAACTCACTATGCAGTTGTTCAGGCTAGATTCAAACTCTCAATTCTCCTGTCTTAGACTTCTAAGCACTGGAATTACAATGTGCTCTATCATACCCTGCTTCAAAGTTTAAGGTTGTATACAAATCCCATGTAGGTACTTTGAAAATGTTTCTGTCAGCAACTGATACAACTCAGTGATTAAAGATAAAACACAGTGTAAGTGTCCCATATTGTGATTAAAAAGCAACCTGGGAAAAGACCAAAACTACAAATGCACGTATCTTTGACCCAGTAATTCCAATTCTAAGAACTAACTCTAAGCATAAACTCACAGACAAAATGAAATGCACATGCTATTCATTACAGAATTGTTTCAAATAGCAAAGGTTATAAATGACCTAAATACCTATATATAATTGTGGGATATTTATGTAAGCAATATTAACTCAAGTGAAAGAGAGACAATTCTAAACGCATTTGAAAATTTCTTCAAAATATACTACTAAGTGAAGAAAGCAGGATGCTATACAGCATGTGTAACAGGGAATATATGTATACCATTGTCATTTACATATAATTAACACAATTAATATCAACATATTTATATATTATGATTTATCCAAATATGCATAAACAAAATCTCAGCTCAGATTTAAATAGTGGTTATTATGATTGGAACTCAGCCCAGAGCAGACATGGCAAAAAGTCATTTTACTCTGTATATGTTTATGATCAAAAAATTTTTGAATCATAAAACATATCACTTATCCAAAAATAAACAAATAAAACTATATAAGAAATGAGTCAACAAACAAACATTGGTGAAATGGTTCCACAGAAATCTGTCAGTGGGATGGTTTTAGAAAGTACACACAATACTAAATTAAAAAATAGTCCCAAATAGGATTCATCTTTTTCTAACTTATTTGACAATTCTATAAAATAACTGAACTAACCATGAACTGGGCAATTGCCTTAATGAAGAAAACTCGGTCTTGTTCCGTCTCAATGTCAGAAGGGATGTCAGTCTGTGGCTCATATCTGTCAGAAAGAATAAGCATGAGACAATTCAAAAGAAAGTCCCTTAAAGTCAGGTGTGGAGGAGCATACCTATAATCTCAGAGTCAGGTGTGGGGGTGCCAGCCTGATCTATATAGTGAAACCCTAACTAAAATATAACAAAGCAAAACAAAGCCACCAAACAAAACAAAAAAGGTCCATTAAAGGGAAACTACGTGATTGAGTATTGCTAACACGAGGTTTTCCAGGCCCCATCCAAGGCAATATGATTAAGCAAAATCTTTAAGAATGAGGCTAAGTGACAGACCACAAGATGACTCAGTGGATAAGCAGGTTTCCAACAAGCCTAGCAATCTGAGTTCAATCTCCAGGACTTACATAGTGCAAGGGGAAAACCAACCAGTTCTCTAACCTCCAGTTGCATGTTGTGGCTAGCATGAACCCATACACATATGTGTATTTACACATGCTTAGTAGGTAAGGGGGTTTGCTGTATAAGCCTAGAAACCTGAGTTCAAACCCCAGAACCTGTATAAAGATGGAAGCAGAGAATCAACTCAACAACCTTGTCCTCTGACCCCCACACTCGAACATGTGTGCCATGATACGAGTGTGGAGATAAATAAAGTGTAAAGAAAAAGAATATGGGATCAGATTACAAACTAAATCCATCTCAAACTTCTAACTTTTATGAAAATAACCAAGATTTTGACTCAGGCTGATAGCCCTTGGCCCAAGATGGACATGTGGACTAAACAATTCACTCTAAGAAGTACCAGAGTTGTTGAAATTACTTGTTTACTGAGAATTCACAAAGGCCCATAAGCCTGTGATTCTCAGCGTGTATTCGTATAGTCTGAAAGATAAGAATAGTTTTTACATTTTAAAAGCAAACAAAAGGGGCTGGAGAGGTGGCTTAACAGTTTAAGGACATAAACTGTTCTTCCAGAAGACCTGTGTTCAGTTCCTAGCACCAATGTCATATGGCTCACAACAGCCTATAGCTACAGAATATTCAACAGACATCTCATGTAGACTTAATTTTATGTGTAACAAAACACACAATATTTATTCTCTGTTTCTTAACACAAAAGTTGCCAATCCTAATCATAAGACTTTTAACACAATGAAAACTCTACATTATTTGCTGTTTTAATTTTTTATTTTTAATTATGTGTGTAAGCATGTGTACATTAGTCCCTGACATCAGAGGTCATCCCAGAGCATCTGTAATATTTCTAACACAGTATATTCTGAGTGTGCAAGAAGGTCCCTGCCATTTTGTGGTGAGGGGCTGAAGAGGAACCTGGCCAGCACTCTAATGAGGATAGTCACTTCCTTCCATGTTCTTTCAACTCTGATGATTTCTTTCTTTCATTTTTTTTTTTTTTAATTTGAGAGAGGGTCTCGCCCTATGTACCCCTGGCTGGCCTGGAACTTGATATACAGGCCAGGTTGACCCTGAACTCACAGAGATCTACTTGTGCCATCATGTCTGGCAACTCTGGTGAATTTTTACAAGTCACAACTAAGTCCATTCTATGTAGATTGCACTATATTCTTCACTATGCATCACAAAAGGTTCCAGTTCCTAGTTAGCTAATGAATGAAAGTGCATTCTAACCTTTTCACAAGCCACAGAAGCACTTCAGAGACAAGCCCGAAGTTGGGTGAGCGGAAATTCTCCATAGAAATATGTCGTGGGTATCCCAAGGCTCTCATCATCTCTGTGAAATCTGTCCAACATAAAACACAATTCGGTTAGTCCTTGTCAAATGGCAACTCTTTGGAGAGTAGTTAATCTTATTCTCTCTGCTTTCCCTTCTTACTGGGTCTTCCCAACTTAGTAACAGCTTGAGGTACTGAATCCATCAACTCTGTAAGAGGAAAGGCAAGGTGGGGCAGATAAAAAGTTACAGTATCTAGTCCATCACATGAAAAACATCTAAGTTCAATAGAGTAGATTTTTCTTCAGGGAAATAGGGCTTAGGGGATATCTGAGACTTTAATTTCTTTCTGATATCTTTACTATCCCAAATAAAAACTACCTAGCCTCATAAAACATCATTAGAAAAAAAAGTCAATCATTATTTATGGGAGGGCCCAGGGTAGAGTGAAATTCAAGATTTTTTTTTTTTTCAGTGAGCACATACAATTTTCATGACATATATTTCAAAGATCAGTTACCTCATATTCAGAGAAATTTTTAAGAAAATGGTTGAACTATAATGCAGTGTTTAGATTTAATGTAAAAACAGACTAGTAAACAGTAATATTGTAAGTTGGGGCACCTGAAAAAAAAAGAAAGAAATTGCTTGAAAGAAAACAGATGAAAACAAAAATGAAGAAACACAATGCTGGGTAGTGGTGGCATACACTTTTTTTTTATGCAAACTGCATGAGGCTTTATTGTAGTTGTTTAATGAGCTAACCCCATGTTAGCTCGGGTCTTTCATCCACCCACCATGGCGGATGGCTAGGAAAGACACTTCGAAGCGTCTGGCATACACCTTTTATCGCAGCATTCAGCAGGCAGAGACAGGTGGATCTTCATAAGTTCAAAGCCAGGCTGGTCTACAGAGTGAGTTCCAGGATAGCCAGGGCTATATAGAGAAACCCTGTCTCAGAAAAAGAAAAGAACACAACCAAGCAGAGGCAAGTGGATTTCTGTGGGTTCAAGGCTAATCTGGTTTACAAAGCAAGTTCCAGGACAGCTGAGGCTGTTGTTACACAGAGAAATGCTGTCTCAAAAAATCGAAATGAACACAGTCAACGTTTCTGAGTTCCCACAATATGCTGCGCTCTTGAACATGTTTCCTGGCTGTGCAATGTCTACTCGTGTTTCTTGAAGATGGCCATTCAAAACAACCTGTTGACAATTCTAAATAATCTACTTGGACAATAAAACAGGGTGAACTGCACCAGATCGTGGAGGGAAAAGATGGTAGAAAACAAGTAGCAGTCTCCCCCTCCAGCCAGGCTTTGCCCAAACCTTTCATTCCAGTAAGCAGAAACTATCACGTTCTCCAGTGTTAGGTGGGGACAGTGGGGACATCGTCTTATACATTACACAGTATGCAGTATTTATTTGAGGTAAGCATTCTGAAATACTCTTCTTGGATACTCTTGAGTACATCGCTATTCAATGACCCTAGGAAAGTGCTGGCTTCATAAAAAAGTATGTGGGAAGCCATCATTACAGTGTTTCAAATACCCTCAAATCTCAGAAGACATGACTCACTCGAGGTTGATCTTAGTAGCGGCTACTTTTCTGCAAATGAGGCCAAGACTTTGGGTCACACAGTCCTCCCTGCCACTCTTCCTAGCTGTGTGTACCATGAGAAGCTATACTACTTGCAGTTAAAACCAGAAACAAAAAGTGAACTATGACAGCCTGGCACATAACAGATGTTCTCCAAAGAGTAGTGACTAATATAGATTTTCCACTTTCCCACTCTCCGGCAAAGTTCTTTTCTCAACATTCGGCGTCCAACCTCCAAAGCTGCTCGCTCTAGCTATTACGTCCAAATTACTTTGACCTCTTGTTGCCTACTTCCTCATCTCTGGCAGACACAGGGCACAAGAATTGCCTAGGAGAAAACGAAATAATGCCCACAAAGAGAACAGTATGTGATAGATTATACAACAACAACAACAACAAATCCTCAAAAATGAACAACAACCAACAACAAAAAACTAATAGGAGCATCCAGTCACCTCCTTGGTTTTATTGTTTCTTTCTACAAACTCAAACACAGAAAAAGTCTGCCATTTCCTATGACCTTTCTAATGAGGCTGCGAATGCGGCTGTGACAAATTGAGATAAAATGAAGTAAAATTAAACACATCCAGTTCCTCAGCCGCGAGACACATTCCAAGTGTTCTAGCCACACGCGGCCAGTGACTGACAGAACTTTCCAAAGGTGCTGTAAAGTTCTTTCATTCCCTGGCTAGTCTAGGGCTGGGGACCACCGGCCTGACTGGGCCGAGGGCTCAGGCAGGAGTCCGGTAGGGGAGCTCCGAGTTTCTGGGAAGCCCACGGGAAAGCCGGGTGCAGCCTTACTGCGGAGGTCGCGGAAAGACATGGCGTTTGGGTCCCAAGAGTCCACTGGGGCGCGGCTGCTCGCCTCTTTGGAGTTCGCAGGCCCAGCGCTCGCCGGTCTCTATAGTAACCTGCAGAGCACTTGGATAGCGCGCTGTCGGGGCCAAACAGGACCGGAAGCGATGAGGGCAGTGCGCGCACGCGCATGGCACTGACCGGCAGGTGGCGCCGCGCACCGTTCATTGAGCGCTTTTGGCTCCGGTCCTGTTGCGGCTCTCATTGCCTCATTTCTTTAGAGAGCACTATCACCTTATGTGACAGATCCTCCTTCGTATTTGTAAAAACATAGCTAGACTCTACAGTCGAAGCCGCATTAAGTAGCCATAAAATGATGGGAACGAAGATATGCTACCCTTGGCAGAACAGGAAAGCTGTACCCGGAAGGATTTCGTGTACGTACAACTTGTCAGTCTTCACGACAGGCCGGAAATCAGTTTCCATACCCTTACGCCAGCGGTTGTCCTGGAAACTGTGGTTAAGTCTGAGGCTGGTCGGTAGCGCTGGTATCACACCCGTGTGTGTGTGTGTGTGTGTGTGTGTGTGTGTGTGTGTGTGGGTGTGTGTGTGTGTGTGTGTGTGTGTGTGGGTGTGTGTGTGTGTGTGTGTGTGTGTGTGGGTGTGTGTGTGTGTGTGTGTGTGTGTGTGGGTGTGTGTGTGTGTGTGTGTGTGTGTGTGGGTGTGTGTGTGTGTGTGTGTGTGTGTGTGCGCGCGCGCGCGTGTGCGCGCGCGTGTTTGTGTGTGTGTAGGAGTCAGCCTGGTGTATCACACCCCTGTGTGTGTGTGTGTGTGTGCGCGTGTGTGTAGGAGCCAGCCCAGGCTCAGCAGGGAGGACGACCTCGATAAAAAAGGACTTGGGAGAGAAGAGATGAGCTAAGCCAAGTAGGGTGGGAGAAGAGGAAGGCAAAGCCCCAAGATGGGCAGGCACAGGATGTAAAAGTGTCCCTGACCTGGACATTGTGATACAGACCAGGAGTAAGATGCTTAAGTACTTAACGTGTGGAACAGGGCCACACATTTGTGGCTAGCGCTACATAGGTGACAATGCATTTGGACAGAGAATCGTCTTTGCAACAAATGGTTTTGGAACAATGAGAAGTCTACAGCAAATAAATGGAAACTCCACTATTATCCAGATACAAAAACAATGGTTCATAAACCTAAATGTAAAACATAGATTTTTTTATAATGAAATTTTTTATAATGAAACGTGAAGGTTTTGTGACTGAGTTGATTGCAAAATAGTTGTAGTTTTACATTTCCACCATCAAGGTAAGAGTTCCAGTTTGTCCATATACTTAGGGGGAAAATAATGGGATCATCTACACACTGCCTAACAACTTGTGAGAAAATGGACAATTAGACAAGTGTTACCCAGAACCACCTTCTCAGCATGATTCCAATCTCTCCAGGTTTGTACCCCAAACCCTTTCTCCCAAACACAGATGGGAAAGCCGAGGCCCCCTAAAGGTCACCTCATAGAATGACTTTCCATCGTGCTAGAGCTAAATTTTTGTGTGTCTTGCCCTGAATTTGAAGACCAGTGAATTTACTTTAGGTTTCTAGCCCCTCCCTTTGCCCTCCTCCCACTCTGCCCCTGACCTGATAACATACTCTTCCAAACTAAGGGGTCCAAGAAGACTAGAGTCTTTATTGTGACATCATAAGAACAGTTGCCATGGGAGACCTGCAGACCCACCTCCTAGGCAGGGGAGAGCAGGCCCTGCTGCACACAAGGCCTGGCCACTCCTCCCCCATCATACTGGCCCTCCATGGAAGCCTTGGTCTGTGCATTCTCTGAGCTTCGAATAAGAGAAGGTGCCTGGCTGCAGGGAGGAGCAATAGCAGAGATGACATTCTGTTCTAACCCGGGTCCAAAGCTACTGGGGAGACCCCAGGGACACGAATGCTTGGGAGGGGAGCAACTCCCGATCTAGGCTGTATGACTCTTGTACCCACTTTGCTTATACTGGCACCAGCATACCCTTTGTAGGATAGAGGGCACAAAAAAGGGCTTATAGTGCTGAAAGAGAGCTCAGTGCCAAAAGTCCTAGGCTTCTTAGGGGGGCAGAGAGGAGAAATGGGAATAGACAAGAACTGAGGCTGGATAGCCTGGGGGTGGGGCCTATCATATAAGCTGGTACCTGCATTTTTTTACCCAGATGCTGGGCCCACTGGCCACCACCCTCCTGCTCTCTCTCCTGCAGATGCAGTGAGCTGGGCCCCAGGACGCCCCAGCCACCCTGACACACCACCCAACATCTATGAGGGAGGGCTGGGGGCCCAGCAGCAGCAGGGCCCCGGTGCCCAGGGAAGCAAGCCCAAGAACTTCCGATTGCGTCACCTCCGGAGCCTTGCTCTCTACCTGCCAGGCCACATGCAGCCTGCTGGTCAATGTGGAAGCCACTGGCTAGGCCGGCTCATGGCTGGGGGCAGCCTGCCACGGCCTGAAGGCTCAGCCTGGCCCCTGGCCCTGCCACAGGGGACCCTGGGTCCAGGTAACAGCCATTGCTCAACCCTTCTGGAAGCCCAACTGCCCAGGGACAACCTGGGAAATACAGGTGAGCTCTGTTAAGGAAGGACTGCAGACATGAGGGAGACTCACGGGAACTCAGATGGGCCTCTTCCAAACCCCAGCCTCTGCCAAGAACTAGGAAAGGACACAGTGGCCAGGACACACTAAAGTAATGCCATGCTCCAGGGGCCACATCTTGTTGAATTTTTCAATCTGTGTGCCCCACTATTGTTTTCGCACTGAGGATGTACACTCTAAGTCCTAGGAAATATCAGGGGTGGTAGTATGCAACTGGGCCACAGCTGGAGCCTGTTGGGATGAGGAGTGTAAGGCAGAGAAAATCTAGGATTAAGAGTTCTGGGTTCCAATCCTCATTCTGTATTTTGATGGACCTTGGGCAACTCTCCCTCAGTTCATTATACAAATGAAGCGTTCCTAACATTTTCAGCTTGATCCATGATGTCACTTTCTCCCCGCATCCCAATAGTTCTATTAAGGATGTAGCACCAAACACTTCAATTGTCTTGAAGGTTATAAGGTCCAAGGACACCAAGGTGGGGTTTAAGATTGGGTCCCTGAGTGACTTCTCTTTCCTTTTTCCTCAGCTTCCAGTTCCAGCATGGACCCAGCCAAGGGTGTCCCCTCCCAGTCTGGTCCCCATGAGGGCTTGGGACTCAGGCCCAAGAGGTCCTGGAGAGCCTTGGAGGAGACCATGTGTCCCTTGTGCAAGAGAACCCGCTCTGGGGCCTTGGAGAGGACATAAGGATCCAAAGTGCCAGGGCTGGGGACGGTAGGGGAAGGATGGCCGAGGAGGAGGAGGCCAGGTTTACTGAGGAAGGGTTCAGTCCCAGCAGCAGCCCTCCCACTGAGATGGCCCCCATAGTTGCCCAGCACCAGACCTGGGCTAGTCTGGGGAAGGTATGAGGGAGGGAGGAGGAAGTCCCACGGGAGGGACAGAAGAAATGGAAGCATGCCTGTGCCCTTGCAGCCTGCCTAAACTCCGGTCAGCCACTTGTACCTGGGAGGCCAGGCCGAGCAGAGAATCTGGTTCCTGAGAGACCAGGTAGTCCTCAGGTCTAATCTCAGTAAAAGCCAAGGCCTGCACCTTCTTGTCTGTTTGTCATCAAGTCAATCCAGTAAAAACTGCCCTGTATCCATTCAGGCTTTCCTGGGGTACATGGGGAATCATGGGGAGGTTCTGTGGCTGAGGAAGTGCTGAACATGGGTGCTCTAGAAGGCAGACAGGGTCTCATTAGGCCTGAAAACAGAGCATGGCATTCCAGGGACAAAGGGATGAAAAGTGGGTTTGGTTTAAACAGAGAACCAGGAGGGGACCAACCAAGGCAGGTGTGTTGGCCTGGACCTCACACTGCCCCACCGAG